AGTTGTAAGAACAAACAACAAAACCACTATAGTTTTTTTATATATATATATATATATATATCTTGACACTGCTACAACTTTCTTTTTTCTTTCTTTTTCACACACAATCCTTCTGTAACACAGTAAAATCTGTCCCATATATAAGATCTCTTGGCCATCAGACAAGAGAATCCAAAGGAGGTCCTCCCCAGACACCAAGAGCTCTGAGGCTGTTATTGCACCCCATAATGATGAGCATCTGTTCCCTGTACTGCTAACATAACTGGGCTACCACCACCGCATCTTATCTCCTAGGTTTTTCTCACTTAAACTGGTAAACTAGTCTTGGGGGGAGGGCAGAATACAGAAAAACCTCCAGTGAATTGTGATAGTACCCCTCTTCCTGGAGAATCCTGCTGACTGTGGTTAGAAAATGATTTAAAGAGGTGCTTGTTTGAGAGATAGACTAGACGTATAGTATGGTTATTTCTCAGTGTAAGCAAATATTTTCTCAAGGATTTCAGCACCAAAGCTCGATATAATATAACTTGCTGGAGGCCATGGCTGCATTTATATCGCAACTGTACTGTAAGACCTTGTAGTCTGTCAGTGCTGGAGAAATGTCACTATAAAGTAGTTTAAGATCTAGGTTACAGTTTATAATAACTACACCTAATTACCCTTAGCAAAGTATGAATAAAAAAATAATTCATAACAAACACATTTATTAAAGCTCCTATATTACACAAAGTAGATTCTTGTGAGCTTTATGCCATGTTGGAATGTGTTAGTTCATCAAAAACATAACGGGAGTTGTGTTTTGTTTCATTCACACATGTTTGATTAACCTTTATTATTAGTCTGTCTACATCTCCAAAGCTCAAAATGCTCTGTTCCACCTTGTGATGTCATGAAGCTGTATTTTTTAAGTTAACAGCTCCCTTTTATCTATTGTTCAGAGATTGGGAAATCCAGAGCTGAAATTACCCAAATATTCTATCTATATCTAATGACTGGAGTTTAAAAACACAGTGGAGCACTTTCTACATTCCTACTTTAATACGTGACATCATAAGGAGTGTTTTGAGAAGTCTAAAGCCCAATTTATCATGCGTCAAATCGTCTGCATCAATCGCCGTGAACTCTCTCCGCAGAGTGTCTGCATCAACCAACGTGCACCTCTGAAATTTTGTTACTGAGCATCAAAACGACGCAGACAGCAGGGAAAGCAACTCGGAAAATAAGGGCTGTGATTGGTCCTCTCTACATACATTTCCTGTACTCCACTTTCCCGCTTCATTTTGTATACACGAACACAATCCTCGCCTCCTAGCTTTGTGGTGCACAGACCTCAACGCAGATCCATGAATCAAAAACGACGACAAGGCGATGGCGGCAGTTTGCATTGATTCGACACAGAGCTATAATTAAGCCTTAAATATGCAGCGTATGCAGTGTGTTAAACATGTGTGAATGAAACAAAACACAACTCCAGGTCTGTTTTTGATTAGGAAACAACACTATAACTTAGATTCAGAAACAGCATAATATGCACAGTAAAGGTGCTGCACCTGATTTTTATTGTCAGGTATCTTACTTGCACAAAGGTACTACTACACTTTACCTTAGTTTACTGTGGTACAAAGTTATTATATGCAGTGGTACAAAGTTGATCCTCACTTACTTTATGCAGTCCGAGCATCCTAGTTATTCACCATGATGAGTTATATGGTAGTTTTAATGGCAGTTTTCAAATCCAAGTTAAAAAAAAAAAAAAAAAAGATCAACAAATTTTGTTCTGCTGAAACAATAGAAATATGAATCCACTAATAATAATAATAATGCATAACACTTGTATAGCGCTTTTCATGATACTCTTTACATGAGGAGACAAACAAAGGTGAACAAGAGAAAAAGACGGTTAATGAAAGTTATTTTATTTTATTTATTTTTTTCAGAGATGGGTTTTTTTTAAACATGGGGAGTGTGGATGACTAAAACAAAGATTGGTGGGTGGTACTTGTAATGCAGCAGTTGAACAAGACTCTTTACCCAAGTTGTATTTGTGGTAGTTTGAGTGATTGTTTACAAAGATATAATGCAATAATATGTTAAAAAATGTTTTTACGAATCATTATTCTTTATCCTATCTGTCAGAAGTTTTGTTAATAGTGAGCGATTTTGAGAACTGAAAACAACATTGAACTTCCAACTTTGTCTTCTATGCTAATTGTTTTATTTGGGCACTCTGATTAATTGTCTAGAAACTTAAATGAGTCTTTTCTTAGTTGAGTCCTTGTTAGCATTCATGTGACGGGCCTCATTAGCATTCCAGCTATATTGCCATTAGCGCTGAAGTGATCCAGTCAAACCCAAACGCTCTAACCAGATTGTCCCAGCAGGGGTGACAGCTTCAAGCAACTTGGATAAATTCTTGCACTACTCCCACATGTTTTAAATCAATGCCCAGAATGTTAAAAAGAGGACAATTCCCAGGAGAAATCAGGAAGCCATACTCCAAAGTGTTGAGAGTTAGCAATTACATTTACAGCCCGCTATGATGACACACTGCTGTTTATATATAGGGGAGAGGTGTTAGATACAGACAACATGACTTCTTTAAGCGAATGGTGTCGTACTGAGAAGGCACCATCTGTTAAGTGACATTTGTTAAGATATCTGAGTATTTTGTTGTTTTGTTTTGTTTTTCTTAAAGGTCCATTATATAACTTTTTTACTCTGACATTAAACATATTTGGTAAATGGTCTTTTTTTAAATAGCGCTTTTCCACCTTCAAGGCACACGAAGTGCTTTACAACAATGAACCACTCACCTATTCACACACCATTGTTCACAGACACTGGGGGCAAATGTCTTGCCCAAGGACACAACAACAGCATTCATCTGTGGGAGTGGAGAATTTTGGTTTTGAACTGTACAGTATTAATTTATTAATCATTAATTAATTGTTGCATTTATATATCGCCTCTCAAGACACCCAAAGCACCTTACAGTTCATTGTTCATTCACTCCACACTCGGAGGTGGTAAGCTACTATCCTAGCCACAGCTGCCCTGGGGCAGACTGATGGAAGCGAGGCTGCCAATCTGCACCATTAGACCTTCAGACCACGACCATCACTCACACACACACACCACTGTCATACCAGGCAATGCAGGTGAAGTGTCTTGCCTAAGGACACAACAGTTTTTGCCACTGGCGCCCCACTGTGGCAGCTAATTTTCCCAGTGGTTTCACATCCAAGTACTAACCAGGCCTGGGCTTGTTTAGCTTCTGAGATCTGATGAGATCAGCTTTGAGAAGCTGCAGTGGCCACATTATTAGTGAGGAAAAAGTTGATGCATAGTAAAAAAAAAGGTTGTTTCTGTTTTCTACACTAATCTTATGCAACTTGGTGTCAAAAGTATGCTAAGACTACAATACTCTGGACTACATTAAGCATACATTTTAATGGAAGTATTCAGTATTCTGTGACATTCTCAAAGTAGCCTTCATCACTGAAAGCAGATCTCCTTCGGTTTATCAAAAAACATTGACATGTAACATCTATTTCCCCTGAATTATGCATTGTTTTACCATTGCAGGCTTGTAACACCTTTGCGGGGGTCTGCATTCTCAAGTGCCAGCCTTCATCAGTACATGCTTCTGAGTTGCACAGATGTGATTTCTCTGTTGATTTTCCCATTGTAAAGCCACAAACTTATCAACAGTCCAGAGAGGCAACCAAACGTGTGCACAGCGGCATATTAGGCTCTGAAAAGAGAGAATTATCTAAAAAGCCTGAGTGAAAGTTATCGAGCGAGTTGGCTTTGATTGCGTTCCCGTTGAGCCCGGCCTAGACACCTGTGGCCCCTTCTGGACTGTGTATTTTGTATTCCTTTTGTTGGCCGACCAGAATGGAGCAGCAGGGGGCGTTTTGGATTGATTCACGCTGACTAATTTATGATTCATATCGCCCACCTGTGGCTCCCCATGTAGTGGCTTATTGGAGGGCTATGGCAACGTACCTCCAGGAAACTAAAGATCCTCCAGGCAGGGTTTGAAATGACTGTATGATTCCTCGTCATGGGTTTGTGTTTTGGGCTTGTAACACCTGATTGCTTTGTCTTTTATTTACAGCTGTGTGAATAAGTAAAGGCATCCTTCTGTTTCTCCTTTCTGTGGTGTTGTTGTTAAAATATATATCATTTTTAATAATAGAAACTAATAGAAACCAAAACAAAATGTTATTTGTACCAGTTAAAAATAAAATGGTACCACTTTCAACGTACAATGTTTAAAATTTAATGTCTCCTTATTACAAAAAGCCCTCTTAAATCAATTATTTATCCAATGGAAAGGGAATACAAAATAAAAGGAGGAGGAATGGAAGGGATCAAATATGTATGTATATATTTATATTCATATGTACTATCTGGCCATTAAAAATGTTATTTAATATAATACTCCTAAATTTAAAAAAAGCGGGGAGTGGAAAAAAAAAAAAAGCTGGAAAAACTAGTTACTCATTTAAGCAGGTATTGATACTAAAAAAGTCACCTCCACAGGAAAGAAATGAACCCTTCCTGAATAGCTTTAAAATGATCTTTAGCTGTATCAAACTATCAATGAAAATACTATTATTTAAAGTCACATTGTGTTGTCTAAATGAAGTGTTTTTTTATTACTATTATCATTGTGGTATTGAAATCAGTACGGTTTTAAAGTCTATTCTTTAGTATCAAAATTGAATTTAAAATTTTAGTATTGTGACAACTCGAATAGACACAATTGAATATTTGAAACATATTTTGTGCATTTCTTTTTCCACAAAGGCAGAGAATCTTACTTAATTGTATATTATTTAAGCATTTTCATTGAATTTGTTATTGTTTGTGAACAAAAAAGTCCAGTGGTATATTTAATTATTTTTCCACAACAACAAAATCTGATTCATTCTTTGTATTGTTTCATGTAAGTATTGGACAATTCAAACCCATTCCTCTTCCTCTTTCGACAGAACACAGACCCGGTTCACGACATGCTCCTTGACGTCATCACTTGGGTGGGCATCCTGCTGTCTCTGGTGTGTCTGCTCATCAGCCTCTTCACCTTCTGCTTCTTCCGCGGCCTGCAGAGCGACCGTAACACCATCCACAAGAACCTGTGCATCTGCCTCTTCATCGCAGAGTCCCTCTTCCTGGTGGGGATCAATCGGGGCGACCAGCCGGTAAGTTCAAGTTAGACTTCAGTCAGACAAACTTTATGGATCCACAAGGGGGAAGTATTTGGACACTGTAGCTCACTAATTTCAATATAATAGTAAAAGCAAAAAATATCAAGAGTTGTAAAATGAATTAAGTAGCATAATCGCAAGAGGTTCATGTCAAATAAGACTCAGTTATACACATAAAAAAATATAGTAGATAAGTAAGATTTATATAGGCCAGTGTTTCTCAAAGTGCAGTACGTGAGGGTTTGAGGGTTTGCGCAATTTAGAATTAATTTTATCTACCTTTTTGTACTACTTTTGATAATTTCTTGTTTAGAACTACAGTAGAAATGTTGTAGTCCACTTTTAGTGCTGGTCCAGCTCCGATTCGATCAAAAATAGTCCTGTTAAATGCTTCATTTAGATCTGGTGGTATTTGGACAGTCAAATCCTTACGGTGTGAAAAATTGTGAGCCACTGATCTAGACTATAGAGATGTTGGGGCTAAGAGTTACAAGTGTAAAGATGAAATGGTGGTTTTAGTTGTTTTTGTACAGTTATAACCTATTGCTAAAGCAGAAGAAAACTCTATGATTGAATGTGCTTTTGTCCACAGTTTGACTTTGTTGTCTGAAAAAAGCTGTTCCAAATGTTATGGGAAAGTGTTTGTTAAGGCTAAGAATTAGAAACATAACATCATATAGCTGAGTTTAAGTTCTTTACTCTGATATTCATTGTACCTGTGAGTTTTGATCATTCATATATATCAATATTATATCATAACTGCCATAGGCTACGTTCAGACTGCAGCCTGAAGTGACCCAAATCAGATTTTTTTGCCCTTCTGCGACCTGTATCTGATCTTTTAATCACAGTCTGGATGGCACAGATCCCAGTTTTTTCAAACGCGACCCAGGCCACTTGGCTATGTGCTCCTAAAACCGATACATATCTGATCTTTTGACATGTGACTTCTGTCTGAACAGTCAGGTCGCATTCATCCCACCTACACGTCAGGACTCGGAATCTAGTCGATGGAGGAAAAGCGAGGTTAGAGAGTTAATTAATATTTGGGGGGATCGCTGGCCAAAATTGGAGGGGTCTTGGAGGGAATCGGGCGGTTTTTGAAAAAGGTTGTGTCCAGTGTTAACAAAAAATAAAGAGCCTGCGAGCGAAACACAAGGAGGCTAAAGATGCAAATAAACGAAGTGACCATGGACCTGTAACCTGTCCATTTTTCGAAGAACTGGACCGTATTTTGGGAGACAGGCCAGTGTTTCGCCTACTCTCTTTGTGTGACATCATCGTGTACTTCAATATGCATGTGGGACACTTTTAGAGCATTTAAAGTTCACACTGGAGATCACATACATGTCACATTTAATTGGAAATGTGAAGGACCTCTCAAAAAAATCTGATTTCACAAAAAAATCCAAATTGAGCATTAAGCCCTGCAGTCTGAATTTAGCCTTAGTTCACTTGTCCTGACAGCTTTGTACTAGTTTTATTTCATGTGGATAAGCCCAGTAATTACAGAGATATTAACCCAAATTCTACCTTGCCCTCCCACTCTATTTTAAACTATGGGCAGTTGTCATTGAACTCATTTAATCATTTAATTATTATATATTCTACAGGTAAGTGGTCAGTAAAAATACACGTGCATAGGTAGTGGAAACATTAGCTTCAAAAGGTGACATTTCATTTAATTCGGCAATAGTGCGTTATACAGACCTTTAAAGACATGCATATATCTTTGCCATGCTCAATAATAAATGACCTTTACAGTAATAGGTGTGTGAGGTGCTTATGCCAGACAATGTATTACTTATTGCATGGTAAATTGTAGAATAATACAAGGGAGCCAAGAAATATTATCTTATCTAGACATCGATTTTGCCCTTCAAACACTAACTCCCTGCTCTATAAATACACAAAACAATTTTATGCTTTCTACTGCAAAGTCACAGCATCTTCGCTATATGCTTTGATATTTGTTGCCAGGTTACAGAATAAACAGAACGAAAAACCTGCAAGTCTTAAAATGTGTTAGTGTTATTGCATTGACACCTTTTGTTTCAAGGTTCAACCGTTAAACTAATCTAAAGGTGCACTATGTAACATTTCTGGAAGAAGGTTTGCTCCCCACTTCTGTCCATGGAGAGGTCATTGCTTTGCCTGAAATGTTCCACAGACGGCATTAACGTAATCTGTTGAGCATTTATTTCATTACAGATGTTTTTAGTGCTCATCTCCACACAGATCTGACCTCTAACTTGGCCATATTTGAAAATCGGTTTGTCTTTATGGACATGGCTAACTTTTAGGGATGTAACGATATCCAAATATTTCGATATGATGTTATCACGATATTTGAGGCTGATGTAATTATAAACGGGATGCTTTTTTGCTTTTAAAATACCTTGACAAGACTTTGATGTGGATTATTACTGTCATAATCCCAAGAATTCAAGTAAAAAGCATATAACTTAATGTTGTCTGTGCAGAAATGAATCATGGGATATGTAGTTCCCGATGTTTATTAACTATTGCTACTATAAAACCATGCATTTAATCAAAGGAACTTGTGATTCGATATATTGTGACAGCCCACGGTATTATTGTGAGACTTTTGATGATACGATATTCATGATATTTTGGTTATTGTTACATCTTTAATGTCATAGTGTGTAATATAGGCAAAACTATAAGGTGGCAGACACTCCACCAAGAATGTTATGTAGTGCGCCTTTAATGCTATATGATACCTAAAGCCCATAATGAAGCAGACTCGACCCCTTTTTAATAGACCAATGTTGATGTTGTTATTATAAAAGTTGTTAATTTGGAGCACACTGAAGTTCTTTTGCTCTTTTGATGTAAACCCACAGTGATACACGTGCTGCTGTCCTGCTGTGCCAGGAGCTTGTGACCATGAACTTGTTTTCTGCATTATCTAAACTAAAGTTTTTAAATTAACAACAAATATCCTTGTATGAAAAACATCAAAACACAATTGAAATACTTAATACATTTTCTTCAAACCTGACAATGGAGATTCACCTTGGAGTCGCACGCACTAATTTATATAGAAAATAATGTTTAAGAAGTTGTGTTTATATGCACAAAACTCAACAGTGTGGCTTAGTTTACATACGCACTTTTTTTTTTTTTTTTTTTTTTTCCAGTTAAACTAAAAAGCTATACCAATTATGGGTGTGCAAAAATATTGCATGTAATTTTTGTACATTTTACTTACTTATTTTGTTTCTACAGTTTTGTTGCTTGTTTAGGGGAAAGAAACTTATTTAACACGTTTGATATTTTCGATATTTTTGATGTGATTAAATGTGTGTGTTTCATATGAACTTTGCACAAGAAGTGATTTAACAAAGACTTTTCGTATCACAGCCACAATTTAGCCCTTATTTTTCTTGAATCATATCGAACTGATTTGAAATGTATCGTATCGAATCAAAAGTGCATTGTATAGAGGTATGTATTGTATTGGCAACTTCTTAATGATACCCAGCCCTAATACAAAACATTAGAGTCTAGCAAATCTGTAGGAAAGTCTGACTTTGCATACACTTCAACAAAAACAATTATGCACATACCCACTTTTCTTAATTAAAGCTGCACTATGAAACCTTTTTGTTGGGGTTTCTGCCACTTTCTTGCCACCTTGAAATGTTATTGCTTTGCCTACAGATATATATACTTTGCATAATGATATACTATTACCTCCAATTAAGAATTAAAGTCTGTGCCAAAACATGATATTCATCTTCTATTAGCAGTGAAAGCTACTGGCCTGAGCCTACACCTTTCTTTCTATAACCTTTTTATTGGGCTGATCCTCCATCTCCTGTAAGATCACTCTTCTCAGCTGCAATTTACATCCACTCAACCTTTTAGCCATTTAACTGAAACCACTGGGGGGACAAAAACCACCCAGTGATGTTCACCTGTGCCAATAATGACATCAGTGCATGTAAGTGCAGTCAGGATCTTGTTATTCTTAGAAAGCCACCGCTCCAAAAGTGAATAATTGCGTCTTTGCACCTGCTGCTCACAGAAGTTACAGCTCCTGGATTGTCTTCCTATATCTCTCATTCATCCATGCCAGCAAGCAAACAAGACCACATGGGCGCACTGGCTAAACTTGTCCTCTGCCAGCAACCACAGGCAGAACTCCAGTCCGCCCAGCCAAAGCTTACTCAGTACTGTGAATTGTTGGAAATACGCACTTATAACAAGGTCAAAATCTCTCTTATGGAATTTAACATTGTAAGTATGATCCCCAAGAGTAGTATGCAGGGTCTGTTGTCTCTTTGTAATACTAAGTTATGCGTTTTCTTCACATAAAACCAGAGTTAAAAGCCAGCATTTAAAGTAGTTGTCTCAAAAGATTGCGTGTATTGCTTTTGAAGTGGATATGTTGGGTTTTTCGTTTTTCTGTGTCACAATGATAATGATAAATAAGGAGAACGCTGTAAGAGACACCAAGGTCTTCCCATGACAAAGGATCTCTTATGGATCATAAAAGCCTCGTGGAGAATGCAGAATCCAAGAGTAATTATATGTACACAATGTTTAACAATGTGTAACATAATAACATAACAGTATTTTCAAAGGCAGTTCATGGAGTACTTTGAAGTTTTAACTTTTATAGGGGAATCTTGCTCACATGCTATATCTTTTGTATGACCGCAGGTGGGAGGAGAAGCCAAAAACTGTATTTAAATAAGAGTAACTTTACTTCCAAATAGTATTCCTCAAGTAGAAGTAAGTAAGTAAGTAATGGTCCAATAAATTAAGTATGAAAGTGTTTGTAAAACTTAAAGTAACTTAAAGAGTAGCTGGGGGGACATAACATCTGATTTATAATTTGAAGTGAATGTAAATGGGAGGATTACGATAAGATATTAAATTAAATAATGCTAAAAAATAAGTTTGTCTTTTGAAAGAATAGACTCAAAAATTTGAAAAAGTAAATATTGCTAGAGTAAACCACATTTTCACACATGTAAGAGTACTGTTATTTCAAACTATGGTGTCCAAAATCTACTCTTTAAAAAGTTCTTCTGTAAATGTAACTACCCACCTCTGTGTATTACATAAAAGTTTGGTGTTTTCAAAATGTTCCATCTGTGCACAGATTTAGGCTTTCTCTTCCTTTTTGCCCTGGAGCTGTGTCATACAGTATATGCATTTGAATTTGGAGTGCATAAATCATTCACATCATAAAATGCTGTTTTTTAAGATTGTATATCTTGTTCCCCAAGACATTTCAGAAGTTGGATTTTTTATTTATTTTTTTAAGTTACATAAAGCCATGTATTGTTGGGTTTACGGGAAGCAGCACAACATTGTACAGGTGAATAATATGAAATGCAGATGAGGAGGGGCTATATGCTGATTTTTTAGGAGTAGTCTCTTATTGAAATGAGCAAGTTCAACATTTGCGATTTTACCTTTTAGATAATTCTCCTGGGAATACTGCTGTACAACTCCCTGTCACCAATGAGCACATTCAGTATTCACTACTTAGACAAAAACTTCATGAAAATATTTGACTTTTCTTCTTTGAAACATATATTCAACAGGGAAATCTGGGAATATGAAACCATCCCATTCTTCAATCTGAAAGCCTCCAGTTTAGCACTTCTTTGCAAAAGAAGCTTAAACTTGCAGTATTTCTGGTCTATGTTGTTTCCTCATCAAAAACATATCTGGAGTTGTGTTTTGTTTCATTCACACATGTTTAACGCACAAATTCCACATATATAGGCTGAGAAAACACTGTTCTACTGCATTTTTAAAGTCCATTCACGTTCACTAAAATCATTTGGATGATTTCCTGGAATTGCCAGTCTCTACTGAACAAAAGGTAACAAAAAGTAGCTCTTAACCTGAAAACTACCATTATTTAAGCATTCTGCGCTATGGAGATGTAAACAGACTTATACTAAAGCATTACTCAAACATGTGCGAATGAAACAAAACACAACTCCAGGTATTTGTTTGAGGAGGTAACAACATTATAATTTAATGACTTAATGATTTAAAGCTCACGAGACTCAATTTTGTGTAATGTAGGACCTTTAAGTAGCTACACGTAGTTCACACTTGTCCTGGTTTATGAGGAGAAAATTCAGTTTGTCGACTGGACAAAAGTTAGTTTGGTTGAATCGACAAAATGAATTTTCTCCTCATAGATTCTACCTGGACGACTGAGGGATTCTTCACACATTGTCCTGGTTTAGTTTTGTTTTGGCCTTATCTTAATCCTGATGTAGACTTCGTTTGGTCTTATTGTAGTCCTGGTTTAGTCCTTGTGTAGTCCAGGTTTAGGTCCAGGTTTTGTCTTTTAGTTAGTCCCAGTTTTGTTGTTGTGTATGTGCAAGTCTGAACACAGCCTTAGTACAAATATTTACACGAGCATATAAAATTTGTCCTGGCCAGAATGTACCCGAGTTGCATTTTTATATTCTGAGTCTTTTTATAATAAGACTGTTGATCTCTGTTGCTCTCCAGATCGCGTGCGCCGTCTTCGCTGCCCTACTTCACTTCTTCTTCCTGGCTGCGTTCACGTGGATGTTCCTGGAGGGCGTGCAGCTCTACATTATGTTGGTGGAGGTGTTTGAGAGTGAACACTCCAGACGCAGATACTTCTACATCGTGGGCTATGGGGTCCCTGCTCTCATCGTGGCCGTGTCTGCAGCTGTCGACTACAGGAGCTACGGCACAGAGCGAGTGTAAGTGTGTCAGATTTATTATTTATCAGTGTATTTGTGAAAGTATATTATTTTAGTAGACAGAAGTTACATAGAAGTTCAATCATTAGAGGTCAAAATAAGAGTGTATTTAAGTTGCAAGTTTGCATTCAAGTTTCAATATATCTTTGTAAAACCTAAAAATAAATAAGTAAATACAAGTGGAAAGATGATATTCACTTGATCCTGTAGGTCAGGGGTCACCAAACTTTTTTCTCTGGGGACCACATTATCGCTCCTGGCTGTGATGGGGGGCTGGGGTCATGTAGGCCGTATAATTATAACAAGATAACAAAGAATATTACAAGATTATATTATTTGAAAACCGTCACACTTTTATTAAAATATATCATACAAACTGCACGGTCCACACACTGAGCAAAAAAATTATCAGTCGTCCACTGTCCTTTGAAAACTTGGCACTCTCTGTCAACTTTTCGTACTTTAACACTCGTCATTTTTCTGTCCTTAACTGCACTACAGAACTCTGTGCGTGTGTTGATCTCGAGCCTGTCAGCTGACGAATATTTGGTTATTTAAATATAAATTCTTCATATAAATAGAATAAATAATAACAGAGATGTTATTGTTTGCCAAAAAGTAATAAAAAATAAATAAAATAGGCCATGACAACTGCTGAGGATTGCCTCATAGGGCCAGTTCAAGTGGTGGGGGCAGAGGGGCTGGGGGCCGGTCAAAGGGGTGTGGAGGGCCGGAGATGGCCTGTGGGCCTTAGTTTGATGACCCCTGCTGTATGTGAAATCAGTAATTGGAAAGTTTGCTGTTTTGGCTCCTAGTCTTCATATTTATAAGAGGTTATAGTGTTAATATTTTGGTGGATAAAACTGGGCCATATGACCAAAAGAAGATCTTGCCTTATTTAACCCAAGTAGTCAAATTTCTTCCTCAAAGATCTGAACTGTACTCTGAACCACAAGCTTTTCACTGACAAGGGATTGGTTGTCTTGATTAAAAAGATCCAAGCACACCATTGACAGTTAGAAAAGTCTGAATTTTGATCTCTATTAAAATTTGACCACTAAGGGTATAGGTCAAATATCTATGATGACTGTGTCTACATCAAGACTTTGAATCATTTTCATTGGAGTGACATTCATGCAGTTTATACTCGACAAAACCAGTTCTTAAAAAAAAATCAAGAAAAAGAAATATGCGAAAAGAAAAAAGAGGTGTGACATCTTACAAATCTTTCTTTTATTGCAATGGAACAAACTCTTTTTTCCCTCTGGCAGAAGAATAGGCATTGTTGTTACGGCGCACCAAAATACTACCATGGTGGGACGCAGTTGCATTGTTGGAAGATTGTCAGGGTGCTAACACAGATTTGGAATAGAACATAAAGACTTAACCAAAAAGGGATCTGAGTTCTATTGAAAAACAGTGGATTTCGCTAAAGCCATTGCGGTGTAGCTTTAGCAACAGCTTTGCCCACCACTCGTCATTGTTAATCTGAAAGTTTGGTCTGAACAAAACTGTGAAAGAATGTAAGTGTGATTTTTTTTTTTTTGAGAAGCATTCTGATTAGGTTTGCAGTTTGTGTTTTGAAGAATTTAGTTTAAGTTCACATTTTAAACATGTCCTTTTTCCCCAAATTGTTACATCACAAGTAGAAAATCAAAATTTCTTCTGCAAAGTTTTAAGGGACAGTCTGGAATTTTGGACATAGGGCTTCATTTCCTATTTAACCATAGTGTTGGAGACATGTGGAGACACTTCTTTTAAATATTCCATCCAGTCCTTGTATTTGCAGAGGTCACTGGTGTTAGGCTAGCGCATGTCAATGGCCATAGTTATCCTGTTACTCAAAACAATCTTACCCACTCCACAAAGCACCTGAAGCAAAACAATTATTACACCAGACTGTTGATGTAAATGTCTGTGTTGATAGAATAATTTTAGAAGTAACCAACCAACCAACCTTGCATTTGAAGGATTTACGTCTGAGCAGCAGCACCGACTTGTACTTCCTGATAGAAAACTTGGCAGCAGCGGACTGATATATGAGAAAATAGTCCCTCAACATGTGACGATTCATGAGATGCAAGTTAGTTTTATTTCAGACATTATTCTATCAACACAGACATTACATCAACAGTCTGGAGTAATAATTGTTTTGTGTTGGGTGTTTTGTGGAGTGGGTAGGACTGTTTTTAGTGAGAGGCTAACTATGGCCATTGACATGCACTAGCCTAGCACCAGCGACCTCTGCAAATACAAGGACTGGATGGAATATTTAAAAAAGTCTCTCCACACGTCTCCAACACTATGGTTCACTAGGAAATGAAGCCCTATGTCCAAAATTCTGGACTGTCCTTTTAAGTTCATCAACTATCACCGTACTTGTTCAGGCGTCAAATTGTGTTCACAACTAAAGCCTGGCTCTATTAGTGTATCATTTATGTTTGACTAATGCTTAATTGATTTATTTCCCCTTGTTTAATCCCGGTGCTGACAACAGAGGGAGCTCCAACTCTTAAATGCTTCATTGGAAACAGCGGTGTAGTTTATATAGTCTGTTGACATTATAAATTAAAAAATGTGAAATACTAAACCCAAGGTGCACAAAAACATTTTTAAAGGAAATAAAAGCCACAAAAATGCTTAAAGGGTCCATATTACGCAATTTTTAGATCTCGGTTATAATGTTGCTGTGAAACCTGAAATTACCTAAGTTATGTTTTGTTTTATTACAGTTGACCAGCACTTTGGTCAACTGTAATGTTTTTAAAGTGCTTTATAAATGAAGTTGGTATGGTATTCAGGTTTGTTTAACATACAAACCCTGCATATTTACGCTGTGTTCTTCTCTTAAACTGAAAACATTCTATTCCACCTTGTGATGTCATGTGGTAATACAGGAAGTGCCCCACTGTATTTTTAAACAACACACATTTTCACTAGAATTATTTGGATGATTCCATCTTAGGAATTGCCAATCTCTACTGAACAAAAGGTAAAATGTAGCTGTTAACTTGAAAACTAATACTACATGACATCACAAGGTGGACCAGAGCATTTTGAGCTTTGGAGATGTAGACAGAGTAATAATAAAGGATTACTCAAACATGTGTGAATGAAACAAAACAACTCCAGGTATGTTTTTGGCTTAAAGCTCACAAGAGTCCATTTGGTGTAATTTGGGACCTGTAATATGTGTTCTTTTTAAATTGCAGTCTGGTATTTGCTAACTACGACCGTTTAAATTGCAATTTCGATTTGATAGCCATATATCTTTCAGCCATACTGAAAGCCATGTGATGATAATGAAGAGGCAAGTCAGCACTTTGTCCTGATGTTTATCACAGGGTCTCGTTCACACTGGGGGCTGTAGACACTGGGAGAGGGGTACGGCCGTAGTTCTTCGTGATGGATGGGCCGATCACTGCCACAGTCTGAGCCCTGGCATCACGTGAATAATTAAAACCACAGGGACAATTATACGCAGCCACTGAATAATGAGGGAGAGCGGTGGGCTTGGGAGGGGATGTACCAAATAGGCGTAGGAGGTACTTGAAATATTTGTAAAAGTTGTATTGCCAAAATTAGTTAGTCATTTCACTGCATTTAAAGGACTGTACTTGATTTAATAAAATGTATTTAAGTAAAATTTGGTTCCCTCCAGTACATATATATTTTAAAAGTACCTCTCAATTTTACATTTTTACAGTCAAAGATGTAATGTTATTGCACTGTTGGCATGCTGGTTGTATTTAGCATTACCATGATGGCAAAACTCCCTTCCTTACTTACACACTTATAAACTCATCTTGGTGAGTAATTAGGATTGCATTTTTCATACAAAATTTGATTTGATCCCCTCATATGTAACAAGTCCTGAGGCTGATGGAGTGGAATAGCACTTTGCAGAGGTGGGGACATGCAAGTTGTGACTTGGACTCGAGTCAGATTTGAGTCACTATTTTTAGGACTTGAGACTTGACTTGATCAAATGGACTAAGACTTGAGACTCGACTTGGACTTGAAGGTCAATAACTTGAGGCCTATGACTTAAATCTGAATTCTTTCTATTCTAACTGTAATGATTCACTGTAAGATTTTATCAAGACATTTAAAAAGGAAAAATTTCACATTTATATAGCTTATAAATACTCATATATAAATATACTATGACTTTATAAGTACAATTTAGTTTAAAAGTTATATAAATTGCAAAAATCTAAAGTATATTTAAATTTAAAGACTTGAAATAACTTGAAACTCAAAGAAGACGACTTTAACTCAACTTGGACTTATGGGCCAGTGACTCGAGACTCGACTTGGACTTGCCTGTATTTGACTTGGGACTTGACTCGGACTTGAGGTTGAGACTTGAGACTTGAGACTTACTTGAGACTCGCAAAACAGTGACTTGATCCCACCTCTGGCACTTCGTATGTTCCACTGTGCCACAGCAGAGTCATTCACCACCCATTATAAAACATAGAAAATATTATAATGGGAATGCTTGTGTACAAAAGTAGTTCATTTTCTTGCTCTTATATTTAGAACATAACATTAGTATAAACCAATGTCTTCTTTTTTTAATAAGCACTGTGTAGAGCAATTGTAAACATTGTAATGGCTCCGTGTGGAGTCTGGGAGCAGGCACAATCACATTTACATAAGCAGGGTCTTGCTACAGCAATTTGGTGTATACAACAAATTAGCAAATATTTAATTTCCCGTGCTTGCATTGTTTAGTTATTTGCAAGTAAGACCTGTTAAAACATAATAGCTGTTGCAGGGCAGTTTCTGAATAATTGCAACTTGGTACTAAGCATGGTGTAAATAGGAAAACAAAGTTTATTAATTTCTGAATTAGGGTTAAGCAATACGAAGATATGCTCAAACACATTTTCCCCAACACACTTCTCCTATTGGTCAGCTTTTGTCATATTCTGAGTGAGTGACAGGTGGATTCAACCAATCACAGAAGCTTTGAAAACTTCCTGAAGCTGCAAATGTACAATATTTTAAAGGATAAGTGAAGGTACATGATCTGGAAGAAAATCATAATATTATTTTTTTATTCTGCTTAATTTTTTTAGAATTCAAAATCACAACAGCATCTTCACAGAGCTTAAAGGTGCACTCTGTAACTTTTTGGTTGGGGGTCCGTCACCTTCTTGTTTCTGTGGATATGTCATTTCTCTGCCTGGAAACTTCTACCTTATATTTATTAAATTACAGGTGGTTTTATAGCTCAAAATACCTAGAAAAACAGACATTCTTTCTGACTGTGAGCGGGGTTGCACCTCCACAGATCTGAGCTGTAACTTGGTCTGGTTTGGTCTCCATGAAAAGTTAGAACAAGATAAAGAAGATGGAAATGTTTAATACCACACTGGTCTTTATGGAGAAAAGCTTTTTACAGACCCTCTACCAGAAAAGTTACACAATGCACCTTTAACAAAACTGATTTAACCAACAGAATTATTATTTCCTTGTACACTCCAAAAAGCGATATCTAGGTAAATTAAAGTGACTTAAATTATGAACATTTTACTTTATTTGAGTAAATTAAACTTGACGGATAAAATGAACTACCAGTGGAATAAGCGTGGTTTTCTAAATTCAAGCAACATCAGATTTAGTTTATTTTAATTTCAAAGAGTTGTTGTTTTTCTTTTCTTTCTAAGTGTTTAGCAAGATATATTGTCATATTTTAAGTGCAAAAAGAAATCTTGTTCCATTGGTTGTATAATTTTCCTTGTCAAGTGAAATGTACTCAAATCAGGATAAAACTTTCTTAATTCAAGTAATCTTAACTTTTCTTAACTTTAACATTTTAAATTTGTATATATTCTTAGCTTTCCCATCCTTTTTGGCATTCCTTTAGTCATTCTCACCCTCTGACCACTGAAAAGACGATCTGCGTTAGTGATTTTTGCACATTAAACTGTTTTTGACAGCATGTGGCAGCCCCAGTGCAGTGGGTGGCAAGGATCTCCACAAACCCAAGCTGTTGGCATGCGCTTGGCTAGTGTTTTGACTGGCGCGAATATAACTCCCTTATTTCGCCACCAAAGTGAATGAAAGTATCTCAGGAGGAGGAGAGAGATAAAACTGTGCTCCCAAAAAACCACCATGACAAAAGTTGAGGACAGCCTGCAGCTCCCGACGCCCACTTGCTCTTTAAATCTTTCTATGATCTCAACAAGAAGGCAAAAACATGAACAATAGACGCTTCGGAATAATTTAGTACACTTTGATGGGTTGCCAGATCTTCGTGCATGTTTTCAGCTTTTGTTTAGCTTCTTTTTTTGGACGCCCATACGACTTGTGCTGTGTTGATGCGCAGATACCGGCCCTCGCGGCAAAGGAACAGTCAATTTGTCACATTCGCTACACAAGCCCGCTCTTGCATCGAAATATTGTTTGAGAGGAGTTGAAAATGTGCTGCTGACACTTTGTGAGGTGGTTGTAAGTTTATTATTTGGCAGCTCAATGCGAACGGGTTACCCAAATATACACAACATAATAATTGGGATCAGCTTATATAGGTCCTGTATTGTGATTCAATAAATTTTTTGAAGCTTTTATTATTTAAAAAGCACATGTGGACATTTTCTGTCTGTCAATACTGCAAAGCAACCCAACTTTAATTCCAGCAGCTATGGTTTTTCGCCTGATTCAAGTTACTTATTCCTCAGTGCCCTAGCATCTGCAGTCCTTGTGCCCTCTGCTGGTGCTTTTATCTTAAGGGTAGATTACCTTTTGAAATTTTTTGAAACCAGTACTGGACTTTGCTTTCAAAACGTGGACAAATACAAAAAAAAAGAAATTATGATCCTTCATTTTATTAAATACAAATTTATTTGAGGAGGGGAAAATTTACTTTTGTCATTTGTGTGTTCAGTGTTCTCCCATGACCCGCCAGGCATCTATTTCATTTTATTTTTATTTCTTTTTTATTCTAAAATGTTTTGGCATCTGTAGTACCTGAGGGGTAATGGTTCCTTTTACTGGTTCTCAGTTCTATTTACATGTAAACTAGTTTTGCTTCCACCATGAAGGCTAATGTAGGATCAGTTTTATTCCCTTTAAGTGTAGCAATATTGAAACTAAATATTCCAAACATTTTTTACCCCAAAGCCTTTGAGAAAAAAAATGCTTAGTTCAAATTAAACGTAAATTTCTGTCTTCCCAAATGTCTCCATTAAATCCTTGTTTTACACTTCTTTACACCACAGCTCGTATAATGCACTTAGCCCTAAATGCTTGTAAGACGTGCTTAATCTTGCACCACTTCTCTGCTCGTCCTATTGCTCTGAGTGACAACAGCGCTTCTTGGACTGTAATTTTCTAGTGTCCAAAAATGGAGGCGCCCTTCTGCAGCCGTGGCGGAGATTAACAGATTAATAATTCAGCCACGCGTCATGAATCATGTTTTTGTTCGGTTTCATTTTCTGTGGGCCCTTTTCAAAGGAGCAGTGTCGTGTTTTGAGGTCCTCTATTGTTGGCTCTAATCACAATATTTGGTTCTGGCTCTTGTTTGGATACAGGGTGAAAGGACGGACTTATTACTACATGGACTGAAATTGGAGTTCACAAAAGCGCAGAGTTTTCATTGCATGTTTTGCTCAAGGTCAATACAATTCTTTTGAGACGTTTAAATGGTTTAACTTGTCTATAATATGTGAAATGGGTTTTGAGGAAAAAATCCGTGGTATTAATAATATACGTATATAGTGTAGGAACTTCCTTTGTGCACTGCATGCCGTTATTCAAAACCCCAGCCTTGAGTTCTCCACTAAAATTAATATTTGTCATCAAAAGCAGCAATGTTTTATAGGAGTGTAACAATATCCAAGTGTCACAATACGATATTGACGGCAAGATATTTATTGCGATATCGTGGGAAAGGTCACGATTTGGTGGGGAGGCTCACGATTAGTGATGTAACAATAACCAAATCTCTCGGTACAATATTTTCACGATAAACATCTCACAGTACAATATTTATTGCGATATTTTGTGGAGGCTAAAACTGAATAGGCTACTTTTTCCCCCTTAAAATGCTTTGACAAGACTTAATCCAAAGAACTAAGACTTAAAAGTGCTTAGAACATGTAGTCTGCACTGAAATGGAGCAAAGGATCATGGTCTATGTAGTTTCCTCTGTCTTTTTTTAACTACCGCTGCACCATAACTCTTAATTTAAGCAAAGAGACTTGTAATTCGATATATTGTGATGGTCCACGATATTATTGAAAGAACTTTGATATTTTATTATCGTTACATCCCTAATGTTTTAGGATTATTCTTTACATATTAGAATTGGTAACTTCAACTAAAGCTTTAATGATCGACTGTAACTGTAACTGTTTTCTGGTTGGATAATTGCAACATGCTTGTCTCCACGGAGATGTCCTTGCTTTTCTGTAATGTCCCACAGTATGGCATTAAATATCTCAATGGATGCAAGCCACTTTAGGACTTGTCAAAATGCATTTATTTTTCTTTTACTATTAAAAAAATATATTTGCAATTGAACAAATCCAAGATATATCCATTTAATGTTACACTGTGGGACATTCTAGGCAAAACAATGGAATCTCTGTAGCAACAAGCAGTTGGCGAAAAGTCCCATAGTGCACTTTTTAATTGTTTTGAAGAGAGCATGACCATTTACTCTGAGAAGCTCTCCGGTTAGATTCCTTTTATTGTAGCTATGGGCTTGAATACACTGTGTCAGATATGAGTTATGCTATCCAGCGTTTGCACAAATCCCTTAATCCCAATTTCCTACCTTCAGCCAATCCAAATATACCTTAAATCAGAGCAGTGTCCGCCTAAGGACCCATTTCCTCTTCCTGTTTTTATACAGTTTAGCCTAGAGAGCTCCATTATTATTGCTGTCATAGAAGCACAACGCGCCCCTCCTATGCCACTAAATTCTCCCTGTCGCTCATAACTCTTCTGGGCCCCTGGTGGCGACCCGTGCCTTTTCCAACTATGTCACTACAGCCTTGTACTTGATGTATTTCCTGTGAGTTTAAATTTCCTCTTCTCTCTCTTTCTCTATTCCTCTCTCTTCTACTGCAGTTGCTGGCTGCGGTTGGACACCTACTTCATCTGGAGTTTCATCGGACCGGCAACCTTGATTATTATGGTAAGTGGACATTCACACACATACAGTTTATATGTTGAATTTCCATGTTTTTGGGTGACTTTACATTGACTTGACCTGATTTTATCCAAACCTTAAAGGAACTGTATATTGAGGTTTGAGTTTAAAATTCTATAAACTTGATATAACTGTGTTCCCAGATACGAGGTAGGCATGTTCAAATCAAATATCGCTTTCACTGTTTCATTCAAAAAACACTGAATATGAGGGCCATGAGTCTCTCTTTTGGGTTGCCAATTTCATCACTGAAAATCAGTTGTTTTAAACCTAAAAGGACTCTCTGGCTTGTTCCAAATAGTTTAAATGAAGAGTCTTCAACCTTTTTCCTCTGGTGAGCTACTTTTACAAAACGAAAATGCCAGAGAGCTACTCATTTATCGATCACAAGAAATTGAGTAAATACAAGATGTTGGAGCACAACACAAGATCTACTGCCTTAGATGTCTGTGAAACATAAACCATTATTTATTTATTAGGGCGCAAAGTCAGGCATCTAAATCAGACATTTACAGTGTTAATAGGCTTTTAATAAATTACATTTTAGTTATTCAGCGCAATACATTTGATTCAGAAATCCCTTGGTGACCTACTTGGAAGAAGATGAAATGCTTCTGGTAACTCACGAGCTATAGGTTGGAGACCCCTGGTTTAGATCATACGTTCTAGCCCCTAACCCCTTTATCTCTGGAGCTACGTCAGAGAGGTCAACCATAAGAGTCTTAGGGAGGTAGGGTAAGGAGCTTCAGCTGTGTTTGGAGAGTCCGACTGTCCTAAACAGCAGTGGGAACAATGAAGAAGTCATATCAACCTACAGCTGTTTAAGAAAAAATCTACAACACCCACAAAACGGACTACAATAAGCTCTCCTCATTCTCCTCCTCTGCACTGATTTTACTGAGAATTTCAACGTGACAGTTTACTTAAATATTCGGAGTATTTGCACATGAGAGAAGGTGCTGCTGTTGAATGAAAAAAGCTTTGCCATAAACCCCACAGACTGTACGATCTGTGAGTATGAAAAGCTTAAACACGAACCACCTCCAATAATAAGATATTCGCCCATGCACAGAACAGAGTAAATATATTCTCCAGACTCACTATCAGCTGCAGTCTCTACTCTGTCCTCTGTCAGAACAAATATTCCACCAAATCCTGTCCTTTAGTCCATCTGCAGTGGAGCGTAGAGCGGCTCGGGCTCCATCAGCGGAGTTTATGAAAATGAGCCATGTGGGCTTTAAGTTTTGTTTCTATAAACGTAAACAATGTGCGTAGATCTTCCCTTATGTGATTATGTAGTCTGCAGATAAAGCAGGTGAAGCGTGAAGTGCTGTGAGCTTTTCTTTTCATTCCTATATAAAGTTGGGTTTCTCCAGATACAGTGCTTGTATTGTATAATGTCTCTGGCAATGAAACTTTCAACGCATTAGAAACTCTTTGTGCAGAGATCAGTCATGTTTGAAAACCTTTGGGGGAAAATTCACACTATATTGTGGGATGCCTCATAGCTCCTTACCGCTGGTTAGGAAGCAGTAAAGGAGCTACGAAAGGAAGCACGCATGGCTCCTTTTCCTAACTCCTTCCTCCTACAGTCTTTACCATGGCAGACGGTGACACACATTCGGTTTTGGCATAAGGAGCTGGGAGCTTCGTGACCAATTTGAAGAATTCATAATGAGCCTCTCTGATCTGAATCCTCACATAAGCCCCAGCACCTTTGTCCAATCACTAATCAGTGCTTCTGCCATAACTGCGCTGCCTACATACAGCTCCTTTAATCATAAGTGATACGTACTTATTCAGGCTTTTCATTTTAAGTAAATCAAGCCACATTTTAACTTAAAATCTTAGGTGGAGGATTCTTTCACCTAAGAGGATTCACTGTTATTGCTTTGCCTGGAATGTTCCATCGTATAGCACCCCCACTGGAAACTGGTTGGCTCTTGATGTGAGGTCTCTATGAAGTGTGTATACAGACTTTAGTCCCCATAAATACTGTTATAAATGTCATAAATACTTGACCACCTATCCATCGCCCCTCAAAAAGTTACATAGTTCAGTTTTAAATCTTGTTGTTGATCTAATAAGAAAGCATTTACGTAATCAGGACTTGATTTTTGTCCTCATAAGGAAGGCCAGTCTGTACGAATCAAGTCTGTATACAGATGTTAGTCTCCATAAATGCTGTCATAAATCTCATAAATACTTGATCACCTACTCATCCCCCTTGAAAAGTTACATAGTTCAGTTTTCTCCTGTTTACAACTCCATCCTCAAACCCAAATCAAAACAAACAAAGAAAACAATAGGGATAGTCAGATCAGGGCCAGAGGTGTGAAAACATTCATTATGTGCCTGAATGATTATGCTAATAAAATCCCACACTCAGTGCAGTCCATTAGACCTAGCTAACAAAAACTGTAAACAAGTAGGTGTGTTAGTTTCAGAGTAGTTTCCCTGTAGTCAGCCGGTTTCACTTCGTGGAAACCGTCTGACCGTACAACATTAGGATTCATTCGCTCAATGGTAGATGGGTACTTTTTTATTTAACCAACTGCTGATATTTGGTTGTGACATATGGAATGTGCCGTTAATGGGGCTAACTGGTATATTAAGCTTTTAGGAAATCCCGTAGGAAGAAGGGCAATAATGTCTTTCCCCTTGATCAAATTCAACAAACATTCTCTTTGTTCCAGCTTTAAATCCTCGATCTCGGGAATCATTGCCAACACAGAATGTCTGGCTTCGTCTACATCCATCTTGACTGCTTTGTTTACTGTTGTGCTGTATCACAAAAGGGACCCAGACAGGAGCTTGAGTTGATGTCATGGCTTCACAGTTCTTCGCTGATTGGCCGGTGCACAGTCTACACCTTCCGGGGTTCTTGCAAACCATCTAGTCCGATTCCTGACCTAGTCGCAGGAGAGAAATGAAATTTAGGCACTAGGTGGCACCAGACTGGCTAATTAGCTCGTCCCTTCAGGCAGATATGTGGGGCGGCAGTTGCTCAGTTGGTAGAGCATTCGCCCACTGATCCAAAGGTTGGCGGTTTGAATCCAGCTCTCGACATAAATATCACAGGTTGAGCGGTCAGATCCACTGACCCACAGGTTGGCTGGTGTGATTCCAGCTCCCACAGATGAATGCTGTCGTTGTGTCCTTGGGCAAGACACTTAACCCACCTTGCCCACAGTGTCTGCGTACACTGGTGTGTGAATGTGTGTGTGAATGGGTGAGTGGTTCCTTGTTGTAAAGCGCTATAGAAAAATGTGACCATTTACCATTTAACATATGGAAGGAAGTGTCCATCAGCATTTTGACCAGAACTGAAGAAGCAGCTTGGATGAGCTGCGAAACGCATTCAACCAAATAAACTTTTATCCAGTTGACAAATTGAATTTCTCCTTTGCCATAGTTCACTTTTAAATTTTGTTAATGATCTAATAAGAAAGAATTTACATCTTCAGGACTTGATTATTGTCCCCATAAGGAAGGCAGATCTCTATGAATCAAGTCTATATACAGATTTAATCTCCACAGTCTGATAAATACCTGCCCACTTACCCCTCTCTCCTCAAAAAGTTACATAATTCAGATTTAAATCTTGTTGATGATCTAATAAGGAAGCATTTATGTCATGGGGACCTGATTTTTGTCCCCATAAGTAAAGCAGGTCTCTATGAATCGAGTGTGTACACAGATTTGAGTCCCCACAATGTCATAAATACGCACCCGAGTACCCCCCACCCTATCTAGCACGTACTCACTTTTGCTCATTAACCCGTATTAGCCTCCGGGTCGTCTGCTTAAATGCTCCGTCGAGATTCCCCTCCGTTGCTAACACCTTTCCATGCTACCTCCGGGCACAGCAAAACGAATGAGGGCCTCGATGAAAATATGGCAGTTTGTCACCCCAAGTCGTGGTCACTGGCCGGGAACGTTTTTGGTCAGGGTTGGAAGGTTGAAAAGATAGACTCCACTCAGTATGCAGCGTGGAGTAATCCGCATTATGATTGATTTTGTTCCAGCTCTACTACTTTTTTCTTTTTTCATTTGGCCAGCTTTTTGGTGCAAGGCAATATGCAAAACGGACACGCGCTGACATACTTTCCTGCAACTAGGACGAGCTTAATTTTGTATTATTTATTGATTTGCGTCAAGGAGTTTAAGAACAAAAACTATTTTCAAGGATATCTACTTGTAAACATCTCGCTTTAGGAATAGTTTGAATTGCTTGGATCTTGCATTATGGATTACAGGATTATTTACTGGAGCCCCCAAACTCTTCAAACAAGTCTTTTTAGTGGCAAGTAGCGAGCAGCAGTTGGCTAAATCTGAACATGCATAATGCAGTTTCACGCTCCACTTTTTGTATCTACAATGGTTTTCTGTGAGGCTCATGAGTCACTAGTTCTCAATGCTTCCACTATGCAAGTCATGACTTTGTAGAAAGAAGAGGATTTTTTGAAGATTTTACCTTAAACAACCTTAAAACCATTGGCTAGACAAAAGGGATTTGTATTAATAATGAAAGCATTACCTTAAAGCCACAGCAACTTTGAAAAACTTTGTCATACTCTTAAGTAGGCTTGCTCCTTTCCCATAAACCTGACTCTAAATTGGCCTCCTCTTGCTTGTTCCATGGAAATGTTGCTACTTAGGCTATAAACATCTACATAAAGCATAAAACATATGGAGAATGTGCCAAAGTATGGTTTAAACTTTTTTTTTATTTTTGTGGAATGATGCTGGTGACACTTAAAATGGACTTTTTGGGGTGAAACACTGTACTAAAATTGGATTCAAGTATTTTTGCCAAAGTGTGGCATGATCATAGACTGTATAAAGAAGTGGACAAAGGGAGTGTGACAACACCCATAGCATAGCCAGGCTGGCACCACCTAGTGCCTCCACTCAATTTCATTTCTCTCCAATGACTAGGTCAAGAATCGGAATACATTAGATGGTTTGCAAGAACGCTGGAAGTTGTAGACAGCGCACCAGCCAATCAGCGAAGAGCTGTGAAGCCATGACGTCAAACTCAAGCGCCTGTCTGGGTCCCTTTTGTGGTACAGCACAACAGTAAACAAAGCAGCTGAGATGAATGTAGATGAAGCTATACATTCTGTGTTGGCAACAATTCCCGAGATCAAGGATTTAAAGCCGGAACAAGGAGAATGTTTGATGAATTTTGTCAAGGGGAAAGATGTTATTGCCCTTCTTCCTACGGGATTTGGTGCATTACATACATCACAACCAAACAACAGCGACTGATTAAATAAAAGAAGTACCCAGCTACCGTCGAGCGAATGAATCCTAATGCTTTGAGGTCGGACGGTTTCCACGAAATGAAACCGGCTGATGAATCAGGCCACACATAGCGTCCAGCTCCAGGCAAATGAGGCTCACAATTCTAGCAGGTTAAGGGGTGACAATTCTCCAGAGTAAAGACAACTGGAGCCAGAGTCGCTGGAGCTGGAAGCACCCCATGAAGACTTCCTATTTGGAACAAGACAGCTAGTATGTTAACTATGTCCATTTAGATATACAGTCTGTGGGTGTAATATTGTCTTAAATTAATTAAATATCAGACTCTTTACATTCAAAATTTTAGAGTTAGTCTAAACAAACAAAAAACTTTGAAAATTACTTTCATCAACTTTGAGAATGGGCCAGATATGAAAAGAGCCTTGGCAGAACATTTTACTTGTTTTGTGTAGTTCGTATATTGCACTTTGAGTCATCGCTGTTCTAAAACTTTTTATAGATCATTGCAGTTTCTAAAATCTCTTACCTTTTTAACACACTTACTTTTGGAACGGCCAAACCAGGCACATTTGCTGTTCCCACAAGGTGCTAAACTTACCCCCATTGTTTCTAATAGAAGGAACACAGTTGTATCTTTTTCTGGCCAGATTTCTTCACCAAACTTTTTGAAACCTGCAGACAATCACAGGAACATTGGCTTGCCTATCTTGCTGTTTCTTCCAAGTGTGAGCTGCTCCTGTTTTGTGCATCACCATAGACATAGCATAGGATTTTTTGTGCTCTGGTTGGCAAAGTGGGAATCCAAGTCCAGCAAAGTGCCTTGATTTAAAATGAATGGATTTGAACAATACACGCCTCATCTGTGTTTTCTTTTTTTTTCAGCTCAACGTGATCTTCCTGGGCATCGCTCTCTACAAAATGTTCCATCACACGGCCATCTTGAAACCAGACTCCGGCTGCCTGGACAACATCAAGTAAGAGCACTCGGATTGTGCGAGTATCCATTAAAGCAGGACTGAAATAGCAGGGCCCTCATGCACTTTATGTTACCGATGGAAAATATGTTTCGCATAGACAGCAAAAGGTTCTGCCACTTCAATAGCAGAAATAGGATCCAGTTTTCAATTCAGCTTTTGAATATGCTTTGGGTAACGTTGACAAATGAAAGACAAAATGTTTTGGCAGTAATATTAAAAAAAATAAAATAAAATCATAATGCAACAGTCTAAACAAAACCACAATATGTTCTTTTTTAATTGTAATCAAACTGAAATAATTAAAGCTACACAATTTTAAAAAATAAATAAACTGGATAGCAGAATTTTAGAAACGATGACAAATTTTGAACTAGTATCTCCAAATAGTACTGGCAAATGTGTTATTAAAATTTTGGCTTAAAACTATTTATTTTAGATGCAACAAAGGTGTTTTTAAATAAATGTGGCATAAACTAAAGCATTGTGCAAAAGTTTCACTGAGGTGTGAAAAAAGCTGTTAACTTTGAGAGCTTTGTTAAATACAGGCCTATTGTAGTTTTTAGCAAAAGGGGTGAAAATGGACAAGGACAAAATGATGTACTTTCAGGTTCTAAGAAAAATAAGGCTTACAAGATAAAAACTAATAACTTTTCTTTCATTTAAAGGTCAACTTTATTAGATTCTACTATGTTATAACTTTTTTTGAACATACAACATTCTCAAGATATTAAAAGTGCTTATCTTCATGATTGCTTTACCTAGAATGTTCCACAGCATGGCATTAAACATATATATCTTACATTTATACAGTTCTAGGTGTTTTATTGTATCTAAAGTACTTTGTAAGACCGGTCTGTAACTTACCCTGGTGGTGTCACCTGCTTGTCTCCACGGGGATAGATATGATTATTGCCATACTGTGGGACATTTCAGGCCAAGCAATAACATTCCCATGACAACAAGCTTTAAACCATGTTATAATGTTGTTACCTCTTCAAAAACATACCCGTTTCATTCACACGTTTGAGTAACCCTTTATGTTTACGTCTCTGCTCTGTTCCACCTTGTGATGTCATGAAGTGGTTAGTTTCAAGTAAATACCTTTAACCTTTAGTTCAGCAGAGATCAGCAATTCCAGTGCTGATATGATCCAAATGATTTTAGTGAAGGTGTGTGGAGTTTAAAAACACAGTGGAGCACTTCCTGTATTACCACATGACATCACAAGGTGGAACAAAATGTTTTTTGTTTCAGGGTCTGTTTACCCGAGAACGCTTATGGGTAAAAACGACCAAATATTTTATCAGGAGTGCCTTTCGTTTAGAAGGTGACAGCATTTTTGGGGCTTAAAAACACAAAAATCTGAAAACACCCTCTAGTGTGGAAAAGTTGAATGCGCTCTGCCGTAGCATTTCTGTTTTCACTGCCTAAGGCGCAAAACTCTGGTCAGATCTGCGTACGTGATGTGATAGTGTATCACAGCGCCACCTAGTCGAATTCCACACACTTTTGCTTCACCGTATGCACGCAGATTTCCTTCCGAAAACACTCGTCTAAATGCAGAATAAAAAGTCAATATCCTCATATAAACGTAGCCTAAGATTTGCGAGTTAAACATGTGTGAATGAAACAAAACAAAACTCCAGGTATGTTTTTGATGAGGAAACACCATTAAAAAATATATTAGATAACAGTGCAAGATGAGCCCTTTAATGTCTTACACTGGACAAATGAATAAAATAAAATAAAGTGACAACAAAAACACATCCAGCGACAAGATACAAAAATGTCTGAGCTATTCTCCTTAGACTTTGTATCACCAGTGGCAGACATTGGTAGATGGGAGGGCAGGAGACAGTCTGGCACAGCCCTGCACCCCTGTTATCTGCCTGTCACTGCAGCTCTGATGAATATTCATTTTGTTTATGAGTTATGCACATTTCTCTCTGTTTATCTGTGCCTGTTTGCTCTCCGATAATACCAGCGCCTCGGGGACACTGCTCAACAAACTTCCCAACTGTTAATATGATTCTCTATTGGTGCAGTTAAGGTTTCGTGCACATTTATTAAAAGTCATTAGTCTTGTTTACAGGCAGGTTTGCTTGACTACAGAATAGGTTGTGCAGACTGTTGACTGAGCAAGGGCCTCGATAACTCTGCGGGTGATTCATTGTTTTGCAAAGAGGTCACCAAATTTAGAAAAAGTATTTCAGTTCATAACAATTGTGCCTGTGTGTTCCCACTTTGTAATAATAGAATCTAAAAAAATATAATAATGTGTCCCAGACAAATTATCTTCATTATGCAGTTAAACAATGAATGAATACCATAGAAAATGACCTGCGCTTCAGCTCAGTTTTAAAATGTAGTCGTCTTACCTATCCATTGGGTTCAAAGGGGTGAAAAAATTGCACCGTTGCCCCGGTAGACATTTTTACATCGTTTTTGAAATCAAGACATTTCATCTCCCATCCAAAAGCCATTTTCAATCTTGCATGGTCAAATGTCTTCAATATGGCCCCCAATAGGGACCAGTTGCTTATTGGATCTGGGTATACTCTGCCCCAGGATGTAATTCATGAACTACAATTGACTTAATGCTTACAAATGGTGACTCTCCACATAACAGTTCTTGTATTATTAGCTCAGTGTCAGTGTCATCCATCTTATTCATTTTTGTATCTTGTTCTATTTCATATTTATTTCGCGTTAGTGTTGATATATGTTCCAGAAAGTGACTGAAATCTATTACAGTCATCTTTTGTCAATTTCTTGACTTGCTAGCTGCTCACACTCTGCTCTGCTGTAGTATTTGCTCCCAAACAATAAGAGAAAGTGGAACCGCGGGCTGCTGAAAACAATGAGTGATCATCATTACATCTGACCTCATTCACATTACAGCCATTTAAGAAGCCTTACTTCACCACTATTGATCTGTGCTGCTTAAAGTGTTGCTATTGTGTACTATGGAGCATCCATCATTGGAGGCACTATCGCACGCTGATGGGCCTCATAGTGTTATTGTTTCATTCACAACACATTTGTTTTGAGTGCGATTTCAGAAAGCACTAATGTTGTCAAAATTTCAATCTCAATTTCGATGCTAAGGAGCTGACTCGATACTCACTACCAATTTTGATACCACAATGATGATTAAAAAAAAGTATTTTTTTAGACAATAGAATGTCATTAAACCTTTCTTTTAGATTACTATGCAGCCTTGTATCTGTGCAGTCCCTCAGTTGTCCAGGTAGGTTTCACAGTGGTCCATGGGCGTAAACTAGTTCATGTGATCTTATACTTTTTCTGGTACAGCTCAAGATCATTCAAGATTAAGATCATGTAATTTTAATATATTTCTTATCCTGTAAAGCACTTTGAATTGCTTTGTGTATGAATTGTGCTATACAAATAAACTTGCCTTGCCTAAAGCTATTCAGATAAAGTTAATTTCCGTCCTCTTGATGTGACTATTTTAGTATCGATAAATGTTCAAATGAGTTTTCAATATCGATTAGTATCTAATTTTTGATAACTCTGACAACACAAAAAGGCACTAAAATGTTCATTTTAGCCAGTTTCTTTTTGATAATGAATTGAGAAAGTGTTTTTAAATTAACTTTCAAGCAACTTTTTTTTTTTTTAATAACTTCAGTGATTGTTTTTCTCAATGTATTTTCACATTTGTGGCATATTTTTCCATCCAATTTAATGTGTGTATAATATGTCAAGGTGATTATCTAAATTCGTTAAACGTGTCTTTTTCAAACCTGAATATTTGATCATATCCATTAGCATGTTCTAAATACTAGTTCTGAACAATTAAAACAAAACTAATTGCAGTTAAGTTTCAACTTAAAATTTTTTTTCTTGAGTTTTCAAACCAAAACTTTTCAGGCAGCTTTGTGTTACCATGTTAACTGCTGAACAATCCACCACAGAAATACATCCAGACGTTCCCCAGCATGACGTCACTACAAAGTATTAACACAGCCGCTGCGATCGATTCTGTCTTTCTAAAGCCACTTCCAACATTTTGGCTTTGGTCCCTTTTGTACGATTATTTCATAAGGTTTTTCTCAGCGCTCACTGGCCGCCGTCTGCCCCCCTCCTCCCTTCACACTCATATAAAAAAACAATCTTCGCCTGGCGTGACAGAGCTTGCTTTTGCCTGGTCATGGAGCCCTGTACACTGTGTTATTCCATCATAAAATCCCCATAGGATTCAACACAGTCAGCTGTAGTTCAGAAGTGTACAAGGCAAAGTGCAGCTTAAGTCAATTCCAACAGACAGTCGAATTTGATTTTGGGGACATGATGCTTCTAACACAAAAATAATTCAATGTAATTTCTTGGCTATACGGTGTGACAAAAGTTAATCATATTGTTTTTCCCCTCATATCACTACAAAAAAATGGTCTTAAATCCAAAATTACAGATTTTTGTATTTATTAGAATTAAACGAATTGCACAGGCCTACAAAACTCCATTTAGAAACTATTCAGAAAGATGTGGGTAGAAAAGAATTGAAATAGAACGCAACAAAGATATATGATTTTTTTTTTTAGAAAATCTTACGTATTTGAAAAAGAAAAATATATAAAATGATCTTGAGCTGTATCAGAACAAATATAAGAGCAAATAGACAAAGTAAACGCTCATCGACCACTATGGAATCTACCTGGACAACTGAGGGATTACACAAATATAACACTGCATGGTAATATTAAAACAGTGTCCAAATCCAAATCCACTTTACTGCACATTTTACAAACAAAGCAGTTCCAAAGTGCTGCACAGAGATCGTAAAATGAAGACAACAAAAAGATAAACTGCTAAAATTTTGTCATACCTGTCCTAAAACAATAAAACCAGTAAAAGCAAAGTAAAAGCAAAAAACATAAAAATCATAAAATAGCAGTAAATAACTAAAATAAATCAAATATAGTAATTTAATGTTGAAATTTAATGTTGAAAACCACATTCTAATGTCTTAA